TGTGGTGTTGAATTCTCGTTCAGTCATTTGGCTAAGCCGACTAAAAAATTAAACCAAGTAACATCATAGCTCGGGGAAGGTCGTTTGACAATAAATTGCCTAACAGTAGCTACAATGCTCATGTAACAGTATTTAGCTAAGTTAGTTGATTATCCATTTTCCTAAGCCATCTTCAATTTTATTTTTCTTACAGATATCCTGCATATCTTCTCATACTTGCCTAGAGACCTGAATTTCTTGGAGCATACAAGTGACACTGGTTGGGGAGAGTGAGCAAACAACTAATATCCTCAACTTGTCGCTATGAAATATTGCATCTGCTTAAAAGATTTCTTCGTTGGTTGTCTTTGTTGTTAGTTTGTTCTCAAGTACCAGTGCCATGTTTTTGCAGACATCAAAGAGCTAAGACTATTATAATAAATCCCGGCTTATATCACTGAAAGAAATTTGGTGTATTATGGGCCAAGAGAAATGATCTGTGCCAGTTTATTTCAAGTTATTCACAGGTATTTCCTGAAATTTACTTTGACATATCGCGTTTTGCTCGTTCATTCCTGTTGAGAAAGTGTTCCAAAATTAGAAAAGAAAAAAAAAGGTGATTCTGGAATAACACTTTATTAATGGAGCTCTACAATTAGATTGTGACACGTGTTTATTTCCTGATCTTTGGATCTGATTCTAGACTCTTCTATCTACTTAACTATGAGATCTTTGGGCAGATATTCACATTTAATGAGCGAGAGACTTTTCTTCCAATTTTGAAATTTCTCTCTGTCGCATCCCACTCTCTAAAAAAAAAAGTGACTCTCTCTTCTCTCACTACTAGCTCTCAGATTCGGCCCCTTCATCTCTCTCTCCACTTTGCGAAAAGCCCCTTCTACTTAGTGAGATTAGAGCTTAATTCTTGGAGTATTTTCTGAAAGAAGAATCTGTTAACATCAAGAAATATTGTAGATTCATATGGTTATTGTTTTATTTCAGTTTTGGATGAGTCGAACCTGTGGGATTCGAGTTTTGCCTCCGTTTCTTGTGAGATCTTAGTGATTTCGGCCTATTAGTGTGTTGAATAGTGGCTAGTTTGTTTTGTTCCTTGGTGGAATGTTGTTTGCTGTGAAAGAAGCAACTATATTTTTTATGTGAGAAAGGGCAGTTTAGTTGCTTTTGAGATCTTTGTGATCTTGGCCGGTTCTAGTGTGGAATAGTGGCTGATTTTTTTGGTGTTCTTCATAAGATAAGTCTTTGTAACTTATTACTTTGTAATATTTTAGAACATTACTGCTGCCTATTTTTGGGGCTTTATAGTGCAACCGAGCTTTATCCATTTTAATGGATGCTCAACAGGGGATTAGGCGTTAGAAGTGGTCGCTGAACCTTTAGGGCTTCGGCCAAAAAAATCCTTGTGATCATTTATATTTTTTGCACTTTATTTTCAGTTTATAATTGTCGTTTTGGAATCTTGGTTAATATTAGTATCTCTACTTTTCAATTCCCTATATTCAGCCCTTTGTCTATTGTTAGTAACATGAAGACCGCTCTTCTACCTTGCTTCAAATTATATAAAGGAGCTATGGATCTTATAGTTCCAATCAGAATGGAGAGTCTATTAACCTGTAAAATTGTAACTGCAGTTTCTCAGTATTAGGGAGTTAGTTGTTCAGGAAACTGCAACCTCTAAGGCATTCTGGATTGGTGAAAGAGTTTAGGCATTGACTCTCCTTGCCTGTGTATCCCTTGTTTGCTTGTTGTCTTACTCAATTTCTCATGTTCGCTTCTCATGGATAGGTAATACCCATCTGATGATATTGATCAGATCAATTCCAGTCTTAGAGCACTTTCTCGGTTAGTACTAGAGGCTTTATAATATCAAGCATTTAGTACTTGTAAAGATGTAAATAATTATCAAGTTGGCAGGGGCGGTCATAGTCAAGATGAGACTATCGCTAGCCTTTTCTGGTCATTTTACAGTTTAGACTTCATTGGAATTGATTGTTCAATTTGTTCTTGGGTGAGAATTTTGCTTCTCTGGAATTCCTGCTTTTTGAGATATTGTTCGATTCAACCTTACAGAAGGTGTAAACTACTATGCATTTTGAAACTATTGCCTTGTAGTTCAGAAATTATGCAACTGTGACTCCTGCGGTTAGACAGTAAAGATATTTAGGTAAAGTTGGGGCTACTACAAACTGTACCCTTCTTATAGTTGTAAGATCATCTTTCTGCAGGATCTTCATGGATGGTTCTTATGAGATCATTTCCGAGTTCTGTATTTGGGGTCGGATAGTCTCCCACGAATTCTTCTCATTTACTATACGAATTTCCTCTCATCTCCAGAAGGCTACTTTCACACCATTGCATACAATGATTTGCATTTTATGAAATGGAATGGTCCTCCAAAGGAACTGCCGAATTTTGACGAAGTGATCCAGAATGCTGCCCTTTTTTGCTCATAAAACCGGAAAGGACGACCTGTCCCTGATTAAATTGATAAGGAACTCTCGAGAAGATTCGATGACCTATTGACACTAGGGGACTGAAGAATGATCCTTGTGTTGTACATGAGAGTTCAGATACAGTTGGGCCATCTGTAAGTTCAAAAAGGTTGGAGAAACTGATACTTAAGGCTTCTTGATTCTGAGAATTTCAGGTCAAAACTGTGTAAAAGATTATGAAATCTCATAATTTGTTCGTGAATCGTTTCACTTTGTACTGTGTATTAGCTACCGGTCCTATTAACCATGGGGTTCTTACTGTTTAATTCCATATATACTTGGAAAACAAAGATCTTGCAACACTTGACTATATGTGCAACTACGTATGTTGATGAGTTATAGATTGAAAGAAAAACGATGCTTAAATTCTTCTAATACTTTATTTAGCAAAATTTACAAATTGTTTTTAATTGATAAACTTCATTTTAAATTACATATTTAATGGAACTATAAGTATTATTTATTTAAATCTATTTATAAATTGATATATCATGAAAAATTAAAATTGATCTGCGATCGAGTGGACAGCAAATCTCATCTTGCCCTGGACACGGGTATTTTGATGCAGTCTTTTCAGAAATATTCTACAAAAAGAAAAGACATTATGGGCGCGGGTTATATTTATTTATTCTCCAAGTGTTCATCATGAAATAAAAGTCTGATTGAGTTGGGTAAATTTGATATTCCAAATGTTTCGAGGATAACTATATACGACAATGTCAATTGCAAGTAATGTCAAAGACCTTTTTTTTTTTTTTTTTTTTGTGGTTTTAGTGAAAACAAGTGTAGTTACACTATTAACTCAATTGTTTCTTCAACATTAACAACTTGTACTATTAATTTTAAAAATACTAAATTGTGGAAATATTTTGCAATAAATACAACCATTATTTATACCATGTTTGGTGTAGGTAATATAGTTTGATAAAAGTTGATAACACATATGGCTGAAAAGTTGATAAAAGTCATGACTATTCTAAAATGCGTGGTTGAAAATGAATTTAAAGAAAATAAGCTTTAGAAATGGACCAAACATGAGCTTATTATGATTCAAATAATAACAAATAAGAATTAGTTTAGATAATTTTGAAATAAAAAATAACAAATTTAATCATATAATACAAGTCCAATTAAATGAAAAGTTGGCTGTTTTTGTTCTATTAGTTTATAAAATAACTTAACTATTATTTATTTAAATAATAAAATATAAACCGTTTATCAGTTAAATCAATCATTAACTTTTAAATTTCTCATTTATCAAAAATATAATTTAATCAAGAAAAACTAACAATAGATACATTTTAGTTGAAACACACGCACACACGATTAGCCAAAATTAATCGGTCATAAAAGGAAGCCTAAATTGATCAAAACGACGAAACTAATTAATCTATTCGACAAAAGAGAGAGAGAATACAGCAGCCCTTAATTTCAAGAGAAGAATACGGCGGCGATTAATTCGGATAACTTAATTTGATTTTTTATAATTTACATAGTGATGATAAATTGATTTATGTATGAATGGGGAGGAAGACGGTGGCCATTATTTTGATTAGAAACAAATAACATGAACTTGAGATGGGAAGAAGCTAATGATATAAAAATGTAAACGACCGAATTGATTTTGTTTTAATTTAATTATTTTCATTAATTAATTAATTTAGAATTTTATTTAATGAATGGATAACTACTTAATTAGTTAGTTTTGCCAATTTAGCACGATACTTAGGAGATCAAATCGTATATATTTATACATAAAATAAAATCGAAATGAATAATATTTTCTTAAAATTAAAAATGTTTTCTTTTCTCCCTTTTTTGGGGCATATGTTCTACTACACACTAGTATTTGTAAGTAAAATTAACAATCTTAAATAAAACCTGAACTGAAGAACATAATTCTGATATTGCAATTTGTCTAAACTAAGAGGATCCACTCTTTAATTAATTTTCTTATCAACTTTTATACGTACAATATACATATGCTTGTATATATAAATATTAAATTATGTAAGTATAGGTGCATTATGTGCCAGTAGCCCCCCATGCAAAGTAAAGATAGAGATGGGAGAGAGGGGGTGGGATTGGGTGGGGGAGGGGAAAACGAACGAATCGGCGATGTTAAAAGTTTCATTCGGTTGGGACACTGTTGTTTCCACTAAAACACCCCCCATGACTACTCAACTTTCCTTTGTATATAATAAATTCCAAGATTTCTTTAATCATTTTCTTGAAAAGTAACATTAGAATGAGGCCATTGATTTTCTTAGTGCTTGTATAAATCTAGAGATTAAGCTTGGAATACATTTTCTTCTACAACTCTCTAAATTATACATTATAAAATGACTACTTTTTCCTTGCAATCAGAGTGGTGCCACCTCCGAAGATAAAAGAAGAAGCTTCAAGGCTAAGTAATTCATAAAATTTTGCCTTCTCAAAACCCTAAAAAGCAACAAAACAAAAATAGACAGAGTGAAAACAAATTGGTACTTCTTGTTGCTGTTATATGTGTGTATATATATGCACATTCATAAAGCTCCCTCCTTTATTTTAGCTCCTTATTCTCATTCTCCCTTTATATCTTCTCTCTTTCTCTAGCTAGTTGATGTGATTCTCCACTATACACCTCCAAAAACCAATTAACCTTTACAAAAGAGAGAAAGATCAAGAACAATGGTTTTTCCTTCAATTCCAGTATATTTTGATCCATCCAACTGGCAGCAGGTGAGGTTTTTCTTTGATATATCAAACGCTTCTACGGAAAAAAGCAAATTTCAAAAGAAAAAGAAAAATATTCTCATGCCTTTTTGTTTATCTCTTGTTCTTTTTTTTTTTCCTTGATGTCTTTGTTGCATCTTTAATTTGTTGAATATACCAGATGTTTCATTTCTGCTTTATAATTTTTGCAGCAACAAAATCATCAATTTGGAGGTAGCAGCACAAGCCCTTTGCTTCAACCAGCTGCTTTACAACCTGCGCCACCACCTCCACCACCCCCACAGCCTCATGCTGGTGGTGCCACTGGATCAGTCCGGCCAGGCTCCATGTCTGAAAGAGCCCGGTTAGCTAACATACCCATGCCAGAGGCTGCCATGAAATGCCCTCGATGCGATTCAACAAACACAAAATTCTGCTATTTCAACAACTATAGTCTTTCCCAGCCAAGACACTTTTGTAAGACCTGCAGAAGGTACTGGACTAGAGGTGGCGCTCTGAGAACCGTTCCGGTGGGAGGTGGATGCAGGAGAAATAAAAGAAGCAAATCTACTAGTTCAAAGTCTCCTGCCAGTAGTGACAGGCAAACCACCTCCAGCTCCACCAGTACTGTTTCCTCTAACAGTGGATCGATGGCTAATATATTCGGCCTCAATCCTCAATTTCCACCTCTACGCTACATGTCTCCTTTGACTCAATTTGATAACTATACTAGTGGTGATATTGGCCTAAATTATAGTGGAATTTCAGCTCCAATGGTCGGGACAAGTGAGATGAATTATCCTGTAGGAAGCAGTCTACTTGGTGGTGCTGGAGGCAGTATTGGTGGAGGGGTGGCTAATTCCCTTTTATCAAGTGGTGCTGGAGTTGAGCAGTGGAGGTTGCAGCAATTCCCTTTCTTGAGTAGTTTGGATCCGTCTCCAGCCGGACTTTACCAATTTCAAGGTGGCGTTGAGCAATCAGGCTTTGTTGGTGAAACTAGTCAGGTGAGGCCTAAATATTCAAGTTCAATTCTAACTCAGATGGCATCAGTAAAAATGGAAGATAACCCAGAGTTAAATATGCCAAGGCATTTTTTGGGGATGCCAGGAAATGATCAGTGGAGTGGTGCTGCCAATTGGACAGATCTTTCTAGTTTTAACTCTTCTTCAACAAGCAATCAGTTATAGAAATTATATAGTTTCTTGAGTTTTTGATCTGCAGTTCATCGAAACGAGGCTTAAAAAGTGTTTTATTCTTCATGATAAGAGATCATATATATTGAAGATCACTGAAAAGTTGGGCCGAAAACTTACACCTTAATTGAGAGGTTTCAGGATGGCAACTGGATCGACTGAAAACCCTAGAATTGGTAGGTTGTTGTTGTTTTTTTATTTATTTATATATTTTTCTTTGTAGGTTTTCCTGTACTTCCTGAAAAATGTTTCACAATGGAGTATGTTGAGTTGTTTTAGCTTTATTTTAGACACTGAGGTCTAAGAAGCTGATTTAAGGTTCATTTTATTTCTCATATTATATCATCTTCTGTCCTAATAACTGTCGTTATGGGTTTTTGTTTGGGAGATAATAACATCGATTAGGTTTTATTCTCGTTGAATTATCTATCCATTTGTACAACAAAGGCACTAAACTGGTACCTTAAAATTCGATGAGAAGAACTAAAATGAGGAAATATATATTTGTTTATAGCAACTTAAATGCGTGAAAATATGTCGAGATGCAATGGTGAGCAAAACATAAAATCAAGTTTGTTTTTCAATGACTTTGCGTGGATCATGAATTCATCATTGATAATCTTTGATCCAGATGAACTTTTTTATTA